TCCTCTTCCCTGGTTAGCTGGAGCTATCAGAAGGCAACAAAGGGCTGGGGCCCATGGCATGTCCCACGTCGGCACCCCAAATCACCGGGCCTCATGCAGAAGGTCCTGGTCGGTGCCCACAGACCTGGCGGAGATTGGGGTGGTGCTGGCTGGGAGCTCCTGTGGCACCGTGTCCCTTCAGCACCTGCCAGAGAATGGGGCATCCTAAAAGGAGTAGCCAGAAAGCAGCCTCCCTGCTTCAGGGTCCCCAAGAAATAAAGCTGGTCCTCACCTGTGTGGCCTGAGACATGCCCCCTACAGGGCAACAGTGATGATTTTAACAATGGCAGTGACCACGTTGATGATAATAACAGGAATAAAAGTAAACCCAAGGAGGTGGCAGAGGAGTACAGACCTCCCCAAGTGAATGAGCAGGTGCCCATGTCAAGACCAGGGGGTGCTCTGGGGCCAGAGCAGAAAGAATGCAGCGTGAACGGGTTCTGTGAAGGTGAAGGACAAAAGGAAGGTGGGAAAGAACGCAGAAGAGGAGGGCAGGTGCCAACAGGAGACTCATGTGTGGAAAACTTAGGGAGAGCCTTGGGAAAAGAGGAAACCGATGCCACTCCCAGAGCCCAACACCACCCAGGTAGAGTGAGGGTTAGGGTTGGTGTTGATGTTGAGGTTCAGGTTCAGGTTGAGTTAGGGGTAGCGATTGGAGATAGGATTAGGGGGTGGGGTTAGGATTAGAAGTTATGGTTGGTTTTAGAGAGTCAGGGGTTAGGTAGGTTGGGGTTACAGATGAATGTTACAATTGGGGTAGGGTTAAGTGCTAGGGTTAATGTTAGTGGTTAAGGATAGGCTTGCTGTTGGGGTTAGATTTAGAGGTTAAGGTTAAGGCTTATTATTAGAGTTCAAGGTCTAGATTTAGTGCAAGGGTTAGGTTTCAGTTTAGGGGAAAGAGTTGGGTTTAGGGGTTAGAGTTGGAATTGAAAGTAAGCGGTAGGGCTTAGGGATAGGCAATGTGTATCACAAGTTCGGAGTTAAGGATTATGGTAATAGGTTGTGTTTATGGCTTAGGGCTTAGTCTCAGTGGATAGAGTTGAGATTATGGTGCATTATGGAAAGGGTTAGGGGTTAAATATTAGCAGTTAGAGGTTAGGGTTAAGAATTAATATAAGGTGCTGGTTAGTTAGCTTAGTTGGTTACAGCATTTTGCTGATAACACCAAGGTCCAGGGTTTGATATTTGTACTGGCCAGCTGACAAGAAAAAAAAAAAAAAAAGAATTAGGTGCAAGGCCAGTTGGAAGTTGGTATTGTCCCAACCTCCAATGACAGTGGCCAAAATGAGAAATTCATGGATGGAAAGAAAGCTCTTTAGGGCAGAATTGGTGACTATACAGGTGTGGGCAGTGAGGATACGGGAGATGTTGGAGATAAAATCTGGCCATCTGCCTCCACTGAGTGATTAGATGCTGGTCCTGCTGGCTGAAGAAGGGGACAGTGACAAGATCAGATTCAGGTAAAGAGCTTGAGGGCCAGTTTAGTCACACTGAGGTCCAGGCATCCTCAGAGTACTGATTTCCATTCTAGAAAGAGCCAATTAGACAGCTCTGTTCTTGGACCCAAGGGCATGTTTAATTCATGGTGAAAGGCACTCAGGAGTTCTGCACCCCACCATGCCTGATGTAATCACTGTCCAGTGAAGTCCAGCCTGAGCACATCCACACTGTAGGTGGAAACTCCACTGCCCAACTGGCCACCATTGTCCTGCATGTCCAGTGTCCAAGTCTTCTGGGGCACCAGAACCTTGAAGCGTAGAAGGGTCTGGAGGTTGAAGTGACCAGTGAGGAGTGGCATAAGTAGGCGAGGAGAGATGCTTAGGGGGAAGCCCCTATTTACGTAAACCAAGATGGTCCTTTTCAGGACACAGGGGATGACTTTGAGTCAAGGGCACTTTGTTGCAGGGAAGCCAGAGGGAGTGGATTCTGAAGGGCAGGGCTGGCAATCCTCCCAGGAGGCAGTCCTGCCCAATGGAAACCTCCAACCCCATCCAAGGTCTTGTAAGACCAGGATCTCATGAACTTCTCACAACACAGTTTGTTTAAAAAAAAAAAAAAAAAGAGGAAACATTTGTCTAGTGAGAAACTGAGCAGCAGCCACTAGGTGGGAGGTAGGGAAGTGTGGCAATCTGGGTTTACAAGACTTCTGCTTGAGAGAGCAGTGCCACCTCCAGGAGAGGGTCACAAGAAAAGTGTGTCTCAGTCCAGGATATGACCTGCCCAGCCTCAGGTGCCTGGCAGATATCAGAGTGGATGGGCATAGTTATAATCTATCTAAATATTAGTAATGACACAGACACCACCCTGACTACTGTATGGGCTAATTTCTGTCCTCTGACCCACCTCATAAAAAAATTATTTTGCAATTTTAAATACAGGAACTTCGAAAGGTGACTGCATTTGGAGATAGGGTCTTTAAAGAGTTGGTTAGGTTAAAATGAGTCTGAGCCCTAAAAAAATATGACTGTTGTCCTTACAACAGGAAAGGATTAGGACATATGTAGACAAACCAGGGGTAATTGTGCACAGAGAATGACCATGTGACAAGGAAGAGAGAAGGCAATGAACATCTGCCAGCCAAGGAGAGAGCCTTAGAGAAAATCAATCCTGCAGCACCTTGATATTCAACATCCAGCCTCCAGAACTGTGAGGAAATATACTTGTGTTGTTTAAGCTGCCCAGTCTGTGGTATTGTGTATGGCAGCCCAAGCAAACCCATACAAGTAGCCAATGTGAAATCTAGACTAATGTGATGGGCTGTCTCTGTTCATACCAACAGGAGACTTGTTATACTGCATTTAGTGAGGAGGTGCTATCATTCATAGCTTATGCAGAAGTTACTGATAAGTCTCTATTATGAGTTAAATTGTGTTTGCCCTTCCCCAAATTTATATGTTAAAGTTCTAAACCACACTACCACAGAATGTGATTTTATTCTGCAATACTGCCATTGCAGTTGTAATGAGTTAATCCACTATGACTGGTGTTCTTATAAATAGCAGGAATTTGTGTACAGACCACACAGGGAGAACATTATGGGAAGACAAGGCAAACATCAGCGTGATGATTCTACAAGCCAGGGGATGTCGAAGATTGTCAGCACACTGCCAGAAGTTAGAGGAGAGACATGAACCAGATTCTCTTGATCAGAATGATCGAGGTGGCCTCCTTTTGGAACTCCCATCTGAATCTTTTTTTTTTTTTCCTTTTTGTCTTTTTTCGTGACCGGCAACAGATCGCAACCCTCAGTGTCGCGCCCGTGCTGGACCGGGACCGGCAACGGGATCGCAACCCTCGGTGTTGCGCCCGCACCTCGCTCAGCCAGTGAGCGGCCAGTCTGTATGTGGGATCCGAACCCTCAGCGGGAGTGCCGCCGCTCTCCCAAGCAGCGCACTGTAGCAGTGTGCCACCGGGCCGGCCTGTCCCCTCTGAATCTTAATTACCAGCTTTGCTGACTTATAGAATTAAAACTTGTGTGTACAGACAAGACTCAAAACATGAATCCTAAAGTGCATGAGGTGTTAATCTGAAACACACTGTATCAGGTGCCCTAGCCTCAAAGGAAGTGGTATCTAGTAAGAATATAGGGAGACCCAGGAGAAAAGGGGGTGTTCACAACGTGAGACAGAAACCAAGGCCTCACATTAGATGGGCTACTATGAGTCTGGTTAGTATTAGTCTGTTTCAGGTGGCAAATACCTGGCTCATTGCCCCACAATGGCTGTAGAATTAAAATTTAGAATTAAAATTTAATAGGGTCACATCAATAGATTGTAATAATAACCAGTTCTTTATCTGGGAGAGAGGGACAGCCCTTTCCAACTGTGTAGTACAATCCATTGAAGACAAATTAGTTTATTGGATGAGAACAAACATTTTCCTTTTTTTTTTTTTTTTTTTTTGTCTTTTTTACTGACCGGTAACGGGATTGCAACCCTCGGTGTTGCGCCCGCACCTCGCTCAGCCAGTGAGCGGCCAGTCTGTATGTGGGATCCGAACCCTCAGCGGGAGTGCCGCCGCTCTCCCAAGCAGCGCACTGTAGCAGTGTGCCACCGGGCCGGCCTGTCCCCTCTGAATCTTAATTACCAGCTTTGCTGACTTATAGAATTAAAACTTGTGTGTACAGACAAGACTCAAAACATGAATCCTAAAGTGCATGAGGTGTTAATCTGAAACACACCAAACTTTTTTTTTTTTTTTTTAAAGATGACCGGTAAGGGGATCTTAACCCTTGACTTGGTGTTGTCAGCACCACGCTCACCAAGTGAGCAACTGGCCATCACTATATGGGATCCCAACCCGTGGCCTTGGTGTTATCAGCACCACACTCTCCCGAGTGAGCCACAGGCCGGCCCAGAACAAACTTTTTTAATGGCTTAGAAGAGACCTACCATATTAATTTCTCACTTGTTTAACCATTTAAAGGAAAATAGATGCATGATTTTTTCATCCTCTAAAATGTTGCAAAAATAAACATGGGTTCTAGAATAGCAATACCTATATGACAACTAAAAAAAGTGAAATTACTTATTAATATCATGCGGTAATTGGGCCACATTCACATTTCTCCATTATTCTCACAATGCCCCAGGTTGTCAAACCAGGACTTAGTAAAGAATCAGAATTCTACCTCGTAATAACGTGGAAGGAGACCAGTCTTGATCCATCAGGTCCTGTTCTCCTGTAGCAAGAATCCGGGCTGAGAAAATAAAATTTTCTCCTTCGGTCCCTAAAGGATGATGGCAGAGGCTTGTGGGAAATGTAGTCTCGCACGCCAGTGATGTCACTAGCACAGGCGCACTAAACAGCTGCTCCAAGTGCCTTCTTTTCTTGGGCTCCGCTCGCTCTGCCATCTGGGAAATGTAGTTTCGCCTGCAGTGACGACACCTGCGCAGGACTACGGGAAGGGCTTTTCCGGGTTCCTTCTGCGCATGTGCGGCTCCGCCCACCCCGCCATCTTTTCTCTGGAGATTACGGGAGCTTCTGCTGTCCCCAAACTGCTCCTCAGATCCTGGGGTTGGATCGTATGTCCCTGAAGGTAGGTGCGAGGGTGAAAGAGGAGCCCCGCGGGCCTCGGGGGCCCGGGGGAGCGGGACGCTGTCCCGGCACTTGGGGGAAGGAGCGCCAAGGGCCTCGGGCGGGCGGGACCTGACGAGCGGCGCGAGCGCGGACCTGGGCCGGGCCAAGGAAGGGGCTTCCGGACTGCGCTTTCCGGACGGTTCCGCCAGAGGACGGCGCTGCCGGGGGTGCACAAGCCGGTTCCAGATGTCCCAGGACGAGGGCTCAGGTCCCAGGTGGCGACGGGAATGTGGGTGGGGGTGTGTGAAGACAGCGAGCCTGGGAGGTGTGGGGAGGTCACGTTCGAGCTCCGCCATCAGGAACCTGGTACCGACCTATGGGACGTTCACTTCACCGTCTGTACCGTGAGCGTGTGGACATTAGTGTGATGCCCCAGATCCCAGAGGTGAATCTGGGAATGTGAGGTGTGTGCAGACTGTCACTCTGTGGCTGCTGTGGTCGTGGGGTGTCTCGGTGTCTCTTCAGCAAATCAGGCTTCTGGTCCCTCCTGCACTGTGCGGCCTGCCTAGCGCTCTTGCTTTGAATTTACAGAAGTTGACGCGCAACCTTGTTTCCAGGACAGTGACTTCTAGGAAGGAGATTGGGGCACTGGATGTCAGTCCCATTTTCTTTGGAGTGAAAGAGGTGTGACAGACTTTGATGGACGGTGTCCTGTGAATAGGAATCCCACCTCGGGGAGCATCATTGTGGCCGGAGCCCTCTCAGTACTGCTTCAGGGCAGAGGCAAGAGAGTCCCAGAAAGGTGAAGATCCCAGCTTTGCACAGTCTAAACAATGATTGTGTCTAGTGCTTAGAGCGCACCAGAGTTGGCTGATAATACCTCATTCAATGGGTATCTGAGACTGGATGGTATCTGAAGGTTTGAGCCAACTTTCAGAAGGGAGGAGTGAATTAGACTGAGAAAGAGAGGCAAGGACCAGGAGGTGTTAGTTATTGAAGAGGGTTTGAAGTTGTTCCATGGGGTGCAGGAATAACCTGTCACAGCTGAGAGGATCTGTCTGTCGTGCTCTCTGAACACACTCCCATTCCTTCAATCTTCCCTCATTGTTCCCAGTGTCTGAGCTCTCTCAAACCCAGCCTATCACCAAATTTGGAATCTAGGTGCTGATAGTTCTCTATCTTCATAGTTCTTTTCTGGTCATTCAGGAATGGTTTCCCCCCATATTTCTACCTTGTAAGAAAAGTTAAAATAATTGGACTTGAGGAAATGTGACTTGCCCAGGGTAACATGATTTGTTGATGTTAGACATCCTGACTTTTTGGTTAGCGTTTTCCATTTTGCCACATTTAAGTCAAAACAAGTGTTCGTTCATTTTTGAGATTATTTTTGGAATGCTGAAGTCAACTTAGAGCAAGCATTGCTTTAACATACATTGCTTTAAACATCTCTATCCTTTTTTAACTCTAGTAGTTTCTTTGGATTATGTCAACTCAAAGGGTAATAATGTAAGTATTTCCCACTTAACATCAGTAAGCTATTCTTTAAAATCAGAACTTTTGCAAGAATATATTGGAAGCAATTTTGCATTATTTGAAATGGGAAAATTAGACTGCACTTCCCTTCTACTCAAAACCAATTTCTTAAATGTAATAAAATGCTAGTGTGCTTCAAAAAGTTCATGGAAAGATTTCTATTCTCTTTTCATTCTATTTTTCCCAAACTTTTGAAAGTACACTGGTACAGTGCATTACTCACTTATAAGGAACACTCTTTTTATGTTTTTAAAGTAAACAACTTGTATATCCAGATATTTAGGTACATAAAAGGAAGATGTGTTGTAATGGAAACACTTTTTTGGAATCATGTGTGAACTTAATATATTAATAGGGTAACAGTTAATATAGCCAAACTATTTCTACAACACTAATTTTAGTGATGTCACAATGTGTTTTTCTTTGGTTTAAGGTATTACATTATATGTTTAGGTAATACTGATTCATGCTAAGTCCATAGGCTATGTATGTTTTCATTAATCCAAAAATAAATTGTGTGTGTAAGTGTAGCGATTAATGTACTTGTAGCTGCATCTTTTTTGTGGTCCTTTTTTCCCCTTATTGAGGCATGAAGGACTGTTCTCTTACAGGAAGGCTTTTTGTTTATTTGTCTTTTTCAGCTAATAAGTAGAGAGTTTGGGGAAGGAGAACCTAGAGCCAAGCCACAACAGTTCTCTACTTAATCCACTCCATTCTGTTTTCTCTCAGCTATGCTGCCAGAGTGTGCTATGGGTTTACAAGAGCAACAAAAGATAAATAAATCTCCGGTGAGTTTTTTGGTTATTTATTACTCACTCTTTTTTTTATTGTATTATATGAGCTTATGGCATGCATAAATTAAAATTGAAAAGAACAAATGAGTAAAACTCAACTTGAAAGAAATGTACATTCATAGGATAAAGTTGGCATGTAGATACAGCAGTTTGTAAGAACTCCGAGTCATCTAAGTTGAATAAAAATTTTTCTCTGGTCTTTGGGATGTCATGGAAAAAAGCCAGACATCTTGTTTACATGATTGGAATGGAACCTGAGAAGAGAATCTGCCAAATTCTCTTGGAATGTGAAGACTTGGTGGCACCAAATTCTGCAACACCATCGATGTTAGAAAGTTTTTCACTGCTGATCTGGAAATAAACATTTCTCAGTTTCTGCAGTGCAAATAGCTACCTAGTTCTAAGGCACAGTTGCTTAGTAAGCTTTTTATAAAGTGTACTAGTCCATTTTGTGTTGCTTATAACAAAATTCTTGGAACTGGGTAACTTATAAAGCAAACAGAATTTATTGCTTATGGTTTCTGAGGCTGGGAGGTCAGAAGTCCAGGGAACACATCTGGTGAAGGTCTTGGTGGTGGTGGCAACAGTGACCCAGAAGTCTCATTGCATGATGGTGGAAGCAGAGAGAGGAGACAGAGAAGAGAGACAGACTCTCGTCTTCTTTTAAAGCTCTCAGAACTGTGCCCCTGACCACCATTTTTAATCCATTCACTACTGCAGGGTCCTACAATCCAATCACCTCTTCAAGGCTCCACCTTTTGATTACCACAATAAGATTTCCCACCCTCTGAACAGTCACAGCGGGGGCTAAGTTTCTAACACATAAAACTTGTGGAACACAATTCAAGCTCCAGTGACTTCTGGGGGGACATAATTCAATCCACTACATAAAGTTTCTAAAATAAATCTTGTTCCAGATGGCTTTAGAAGACCGTACTAAGATTTGTAGAAAAAAACAGAATTACTTGAGTCTTCTGCTATATTTTGAACTACTGTTCATGATATTCTCCTGGAAATTCCTCTGTCTTAGTTTATTAATTTCTCTCATGACTTCACTGATGGTTTTTGCTCTTTTCTCCTGAATTCTTCTACTTTCTTCTTTTTTTTTTTTCCTTTTTTGTCTTTTTTCATGTCCGGCAACGGATCACAACCCTCAGTGTCGCGCCCGTACCGGACCGGGACCGGCAACGGGATCGCAACCCTCGGTGTTGTGCCCGCACCTCGCTCAGCCAGTGAGCAGGAACCGGTCTGCATGTGGGATCCGAACCCTCGGCGGGAGCACCGCCGTGCTTCCAAGCGGCGCACTGTAGCAGTGCGCCACCGGGCCGGCCCTACTTTCTTCTTTATAACATAGCTTATCAAAGTGCTTCATCCTGGGCCCTGTTTTTCTCATGTGAAATTCTTTTTCACTGATTCAGTCCTCTGTATTTTGCACTCTTCTTTCTCTTTAGATTGTATTTCTTCCCTAGTCTTTTGGTCATAGGTTGAATTTTGTTCAATGCTTGTTTGTAACTATTCAGAATGCACCTCAAGGGGCTGGCTTGTTTGCTCAGATGTTTAGATCATGGCGTTTTAACACCAAGGTCAAGGGTTCAGATCTCTGCACCAGCCAGCTGCCAGGGAAAAAAACCAAAATATCACCTCAAGGTCAACAAATTAAAATTAAAACCACTTCCCCTTCTTCTGTGTGTTATCACTACCACCCAGCCACTGACACAAGCTACCAAAATGAGATTTGTCCTGGACTCCTCCCTGTTTCTTGGGTTTAGTTTGATCTTGTGTTACTTCTTGCTACATTTGTTTGGTCTTTCCATACACTGCCAGTATGGGGGGAGATGTTTGTACTCATAAAAACAGTAACTTTGTTCCACTGCAAATATCATTCTTATAAAATCCTGAAGATAATGTTTGCTGGGCTATGAGATTCAATCCCTGGTGACCTATGCTTCTGGCCAGCACCTGTGTTGACATCCTTAGGAGTCCATGGGGAGAAAGCCTTCAAGAGTTACTGGGACATGTTTGAACAATGGTAAGTAAAGAGATGTGAAATAATAAAAACAGAAAGTACAAATTTCATAATGTCTACTTTTTGCTTCTATAAATTTACGTCAGTGATTCCATTTGTAGTTTTTATTAATGTACAGTTATCTGTAGTTCACTAAGATGCATTATGCTTTTAAACTTTCTTACAGATTGTATTTTATTCTTCTCCTATTTCAAGTAATTACTAAAAAATGAATGAGAAAAATAGATGTGTGTGTTAGTCATCAGTATGTTTTTAAGGTAGAACTGTAGCTAACAGGTAGTGTTGTGAGGTACCCTCCCGCAAGAATGCACTTACTTGCCACTCATGCAGAAAAGGTCAGTTTATTCACTCCAGCTGGCCAGCGACCATCTCTCAAGGAGCAACCAAGGGAGAATGGCCCTGGGCCTTGGTCTTGTGGGTTTTTTTTTTTTTTCCCTTTTTGTCTTTTTTCGTGACCAGTAACGGGATCGCAACCCTCAGTGTCGCGTCCGTACCGCGACCGGCAACGGGATTGCAACCCTCGGTGTCGCGCCCGCACCGCGCTCAACCAGTGAGTGGACCGGTCTCTATATGGGATCCGAACCCTCGGCGGGAGCGCCGCCGCACTCCCAAGCGCCGCACTCTACTGAGTGCACCACCAGGCCGGCCCATTGTGGGGTTTTTAAAGGCAGAAACCGCATCCTGTTGGCACCTGGGTTTGTCCAGGTGCACAAAGCAAGCTAGGTATCTAGGTTACAGAAGCCAAAAATGAGCCATTAGAGTAATCAAACATACAAATTTTTATTGCATATGGTTCCTATTCCCATGTAATAGTTCACTGTGTATGGCTCCTGTTTCTATGCAACAGTTTTTATTTTTATGAGAAAGTTAACGGTTTCTCACACAGAAGTGGGGGGGGGGTCGTCTGACAATGGGAATGGAGCAGTGCTTTCCCAAGATGGTGTTGGTATTGCTTAAGGTTCTCTTATCAAATCGAAAGCAGTCACAGCCAGGTGGGTCATCCGGGATGGGGGGAGGCAGGTGGTGTGGTAAATTCCAGAAACTAGACCATTGTGTCAGGTCAGACAGTGTTGGTATTGCTTAAGGTTCTCTTATCAAATCGAAAGCAGTCACAGCCAGGTGGGTCATCCAGGATGGGGGGAGGCAGGTGGTGTGGTAAATTCCAGAAACTAGACCATTGTGTCAGGTCAGACGGGGTAAAATGGAGTTACTTAGGTTAAGCAAGCAATTTTATAGAAGCAGATAGTGTACATTATGAGGGTGTAGGGAGCTTTATTTCATTCCCAACTCCTCTTTAGGAAGGAATTAAACCATTGATTTAGTGGTACTTAATTTGTTGTACTTAGCATGTAAAACAAGGAGTTTGACTGATTGTACTCATTTCTGAATGTAGCTAGTGAGGCAGGAAATTAGGCAGGGTTTAATAGTAACTAGGAGGAGAAGGAGGACTAGGAGACCAGAGATTGCTGTCATTAAGGTTGTTAACCAAGGTGACCAGGAAAAAAGATTCTTAAACCAGTTTTTATTATTACTATATGACTTTTTTTAAAAATGTGTTTTTTGACTAATGTGAGGCTCTTTTTAATAAACCCTAATGGTTGGTATAGAAATAACAGGTTTTTTTGAGTGCTACACATAATCCACCTTGTTTAAGGAAGAGTAAATTTAAACCTTGTTTATTTTGAAGGACTACTTTAGCTAAAGAGTTTAAGGATTTTTTAATTTATTGACAGATTTTAAAAATTTCCTTAAATTTATGTTTATTTCTTGGCTGAGTTTTTGGAGGTTTTGCCTTTTTGTAATTAAGGCTGTGGTTCTTAGAGCGGTAGACCTGGCTACCCCTAAGCCTACTAATATATGGATTAGGATTGGTGCTGCTTTTTTGGTGGTAAAATGGTGGAAACCTGCTTCTCCCTTATAATAATATACTTTGGGTACTATGTATACCAGAACATAGCTTTCAGAGACATTAGAAAATGTGAAATATTGGGTAGAAATACAAGGAGTTAATCCCATTAAACAAGCGAACCAAGTGTGAGCTGGGGCAACTAGGTAAAAGGGTTGATTTGTATTATTTACTAGTTGGGATCAGGTACAATTGGCATTATGAGGAGAGGCAGACACGTTATAGTTTGGGGAATACAAGCAAAGTGCTTGTCCTTGGATGCCACCTAGTGTAAGTTTAGGTGTTCGACCCTAGGGACAAAGTTGATGTTGGTTAATATAGGTTAGGTTTAAGTACTTAATGGAGAATTATGACTTAAAGAGGTGGAGATATTAATATAGTCTATAGCTAATCCCACATAATAAGGGGTTTGGGATTTAAGCACAGCCAGCAACTTTGAGTAACTTTGGGATTGGTCATATTTAAGTAGCAGAATGATGCATTAACAGTATTTACAAGGGGGTTTTGGAATGGGAGGTTGGACTGGGGGGGTAGGTTGATAGGGGATCTTAGCTGGACTAGAGGAAGGCCTAGGAGGGGGCTTGTTATTAGGCGGAGGGAGGACAGGAGATTGGGGCAGTAGGTTTTTATTTGGCCCTATGAGAACATAAGTTGTATGTTTTCATTTTAGTTGGATAGTAAACTCAGATCCTGGGTTTTTACTGGTGATGTATAGGCGAATTACCCAGGTACGTCCGGCCTTCCAGGATGTATCCATGTAAGGATTCCAGAGTTTAACCGTGATATTCATAAGGTTGCATTTGTTTAGTTGGCAAGGCCCTGAGGGGCTTTTCCCTTGCGTAAGGATTATCCAGGGGTCTGTATGAGACCAAGATGATTCAGTTCGACAGCCCTAGGCAGCACAATAGTACTCCCCTTGGTAGTAACAGGTAGGACTAGAGGCTGCTGGACAGGCATAAAATTGGGTTTGTTGGAGGCCTTGTTCATAACTGAGCTGGCTGCATGAGTGTGGGGAGATAACATGGGTTCTCCTCCAAAATAGCCACTCATAGTACAACTGCA